AAAGAAAAAACTCACCATAGATACATAAAATAAAATATTGTGTTTAAATCACCCCTAAAATAAAATCCCTCCTGAACTTCAATTTTCTCCTTACTTGCTTGAATGATAGATTCTCCGTATTCATATTCTTGAGCTATAAAAACACAAGTTAATGTTAGTTTAGTAACAAATAATAAACTTTTCAAAAAGATACAGAAGATCTCAACATATTTACCAAAAATGATGCAAAACATTAAGGTTTCTAAAAAGCACGCGAATAATAAGTTTTTTATCTACCAAAATAGTCCAATAAATTTAGATGATTTCCAAACAAAGGTACAGAAATGTGTCCTAAAGAATAATTGATTGATATTTCAGACTATTATTCAGGAACCTAGGTTTTATACGCACACATAAACTTCATTATCTGTTAGTATAGAAACTTATGTATAAACAATAAAAAAATGTTATGATTACTGAATGTTGCACAGCAGACACGGGCATGAGCTGACTAAAGTGTACACTATATAATATGTATTTATGATTTAGGAAAACATAGTAAAGCATAATATGAATACTGGTCTCATATTCCGTTGATTTTAAAAGATGTACTTTTTATAATTTCATCAAAGTTAACAATTATCATTTCAAATGAGAAGTAGTGGTTTGAGCTTGGGACTTCCATGTTGGAGGTCTCAAGTTCGAAACCCCTTGCCAGTGAAAGCAAGGGGTTTGCCTTCTAGGTCGAGCTCGTCGCACCAGGCTTGCCTAGTGCGGGTTACCTCTCCTATGTGGTTTGCGAGCTATTGCATAGGAGCGGAGGTTTTACCCTGTGAGCACCCAAAGGATAGCGGCTGCGAGTTTCCCTTGTCATCAAAAAAAAAAAAAAGTAATAATGTCAAATCAATAGTATTCACCTGTTAAAAATTATGTAAATACGTGTTTCTTTGACCAAGTTTTAAGCTAATCTCAACAGCTAATCAAACTTTCAACAACACAAATATTTCAGATACTAAAACTCCATTTACATTTGTGGTTTCAACACAATACTTCAAATTTCAATTAACATTTGTAGTGATTTTCAAATAGTACATATAAGACTATGGATAAAAAAAAAAGTACTGAAATTGAAAACTAGACAACCAATTGTCTTAATTCTCTGTCCAACTTGGTTCAAAACTCTAAAAAATTACCCCCAAATTTCTTCACATTTCAACTTGTTCAATACTGCCAATATTCAAGAATCAGGTTCAATTTAAATCATTTCACACCCTTCTAATCCAAAAGTCAAGTTGGTTTGTAGTTCTCAATCAGGAAAAGTAACAAACAAACACAAAGATTTAAATTGTGCACAGAGAACTAAAAAATTATTGTTTTTGTTTCACATGCTCTATTTTAGATATTAAATCACATTCCTCTCCCGTAAAAGAATTAAGCTAGCTTTGACCATAATTAAGCTCTCAATGTCTTCTTTATTTTATCATCGATGTAGCTTCTTTCGCCTTTAGGAATGATGGTGGTAGTTTTGATGCTCAAGAGCTTACTGCGCCTTTAATATATAAAAGAAAGCAAAAATTTAGAGACTTTCACAGTAAATCAAGTAATGAACAAAGTATCTTATGGAACTTGACCATCAAAGTGTTGCAGTACGAATAGAGTAAGACATCTAAAGACAACACCAAAGTGATGAAGAATGAAAATAGAGATTGTCGAGTTGACAAATTTAACAATGATGAGGTATACCTGCTCACATCACACATGATCCTCATAGAGGAGCTTTTATGAATTTTGGTGGAATCATATGAAGAACAGGAATCAATGAAGATCCAGAATTTCAATCACTTGTATGAGTGAAGAAAACTTTTGAAAAAAAGGTAGGAGAAGAAAGGAAGAGAGTGCTAAAAAGTAGAAGGTGGAAAAGTTAAAGTTATCAAAGCTATCAAGAAGAACTTATTGGTGAAGAGTAGGAGGAAGAAAAGAGGAATTACATCAAACTTGGACGAATCTGAACCTTAAATTGGTAATAGTCTAAAAATCCTTCCAGCTCACTTTGTTTGTATGAATTTCTATACATTTTACACCCTTAATGTGCATAAAACCTTCTCATTTGCACCTTATAATCTTATGTTCTGTAGTTCTCTCATTCCACTCAGCCACAAACACAACAACACTATGTGATAGGGGTGGAGAGGAAGTCGGTACAAGTACCATCAACACATTATAGTGGAAAAATGATTATTAGAAAGTAATATGTAATTGGCTGGTGTAGGTGATGGGATAATCTTGCCATTTTAATTGATATGGATTCATCAGGTAATGTCATTACAACCTCTCTGATATGCTAATCATTGTTGTTTGAGATGGCTAAACAATAATGAAGATAACAAGATAGTTACAAGCACAATATGGTACTGTCTAATATTTCATGTTACAAAATTTGTAAGTACATCATCTGGTGTTCTCAAATTTTGATATCAACTTATATGAACTCTATAATTATGTAATCTGATATTTTCTTAGAAGATCTTGGAGTTGATAAATGATTAGATTACAAAGTTAACTTTTTTTTATAAACAACCTCTTTGACTCCAAGAGATAGGGCTAAGGTTTGGATACACTCTATTCTTCTTACTTGTGGGATTACACTGAGTATGTTGTTGTTGTTGTATACAATTAATTAATGAAAAAGAAACTGGAAGAGAAAGAGCAAGAGGTGCTGAAAGTAAGACCGGCCACTTAATAATGGCAATTATGCAGCATTAAAGAGTTGCAAGCCATCAAAATTGTGGCATGTGGTCATTAATTTAATTAATAATCAGTAGTTTCATCCTAGTTTCAATAAGATCATATAATTAAGAATAATATTTTCAATACTTCCTCATTTCATCCACTTCTTTTCCCAAGTTTCTATGATCTTTTCCATATACATTATGAAAATAAGAACTGTTGTGATGCAACCTTAGAATTCCCAGGTCCCAACATAGAAAAAGGCTGCAACCACATATAACAATAATTTTACATCTTGATTAATTTAAAGAGACATTTTTTTATAGTTATTGGGTAGATTAGATTTACTGCATTCAGCTAGCATATAGTACATAGCTCAGGTGTTCTAACAAAGTAAATAACAAAGATTTCAATATGATGATTTAATCCTTGTGTTCAATTTCACATGCTTGAATACCTAACTATTTCATGTACATAATCTATCTTATGTCAAATGTGCAGAGAAGCTTCACAATGCCAAATACTTTTAATCTAAGTAGAAATAGGACCAGTATCTTTACCAGCTTGATTGTCTGATGAGAGGTTGAGCTTTAATCATTTAGAGAAGTTTCACCCACCTGTTTTTGAGCTGCAACAAGTGACAAGTATTTTTAACCACAATGTCAGAGAAAATTCTGAACTTAAAAATATAGATACTGAGGTTTCTAAGGCTACATTCTTTTATGCATAAGATAATGCAATCATTTATCACTGAAGAATATTAATCAAAAGTATGTTACCTTACTTACCTTTACAGGTACCAATTAAGGTCCTCGGATGTTGGCCATCATTTACAATCTCATCCACTAGTTTTTCTACAATAATACCTTTTTGCATTAGGAGACAAAAAGTTTCAAGAAAAAATTATTTTTAAGGGAATTCTAGTTAAGAGAAATTTGAACTCATTAATTAAGAAAATTTTAAACCTCTTGGTCATTCAACTGGTGAAGTGAGCAAGACGCACAATTCTGGAGGTCTATTGTCTCATTATATATTTCTAAAGCAGAAAATTTCAGTACAAAGTCCCTCTCAGTAGTGGATAATGCTGAAAAAAGAAAAAAACACTCAAATATCAAACCCCCAACTTCTCAATCATAAAACAAGAAAAGATTCATATTTACAAATTTGATGTGCTCATAAATATCGCTAACAACACTTTCATCTATTTCCCTCATTGTGAACGTCTTCCCACGACTTGTCATCCCATGAGTTAAGTGGTCGGTTTAGTATCGACATTTCTTACTCTTTCTCTTTCAGTTCCTTTTTCTTAAGTTAATTACATACAACAATAACATACCTAGTGTAATCCCTTAGGTGAGATCTCAGAGGATAGAGTGTATGTGGACTTAAGCCCAGCCTCTTGGAGTTAGAGATGATGTTTATGAACAAGTTACTCTATATTCTAATCTTCTCTCAACTCCAAGAACTTTTAAGAAAATTACAGATTACATAATTAAAGAGTTCAGAAAAGTTGATACCAAAATTTGAGATTATGTAATTAAAGATTTTGTATTATGAACTCTTCCGAATAACTTGAAACACTAGACAGTACCATATTGTGCCTGTAAAGCGATAAAATAGGTCAAATCTCCGGCAGTATAGCCGCCAATAAACAGACTAGGCATTATGAATTATACCTCTTAAAGGCACCAGACAAAAAAACAACTTCTTCGGTTCGACAACGAGCAAACAAAGCTAATTTAAAAAATAGTGGCCTGCTTGAAAACACAGTTACATTCCCCTCAACTAATCTACCCTCTTCTATGGCAAGCACTTCGCTTGCACTGCCTTGTGTGAAAAGCTGGAATAAAATTGAACATGAATATGCACGACACCCAATGCCTCAAAAAGGTACGTAACAACCTATCATACTCAATTCTTACTACACTACACATTTACTATGAATTAAACACTCACAACAACAGCACTACCACTGCTATCTATCTAGCTTCCACAAAAACATGTAGCTACTAAAAACAATGTAAATATGCAAATAGAATTACATATGCAATCACAAATGTATTCTATAAATAACATATGTGTGTATATAAGGAATGTCTATCGCCTAAATATTGCCTAATACCATATTGGGCATGTGCGCTCACGGGCATTCATCATCTAGTACTTTATAAAAGTTCCAAAACTACTCTCCTCCAACCATAGAGAAGCAACCAATTTGAGCTCTTGGCTTGAATACAGAAATTATGAGACAACATTGTCTACCTAATTGGTAAAATGATATGCTAAAATTAAAATTAAGGTAGTAGAATTATTATCTTGCCCTATCTCACAGAGGAATCTGTAACTTAGCCTTTACAAATATATTTTTCTCTAGAAAACATGTAGGGAAGACAATATAAACTTTGAACAGAACTTCATCGAGAACAGCTGAGTAAGAGTATAGAGTTTCGACACTACAATGGGTGCCTACACTTACATGTCAAAGCTATGAAGGAAGCAGCAGTCTGATGTGATGAGGTTCTTGTAGAGGGTGATATGCAGGGGATGGGAGTACCGCCAAATTCCATCAAAAGTGCGCGTCAGTAGGCTTACTCATCCTAAAAAGGCACGACACTTGGGTTACAAATCAAAACAGGGCTATGTGGTTTACCGTGTTCATGTGAAGCGTGGTGGAAGGAAGAGGCTTGTATCAAAGGGTATTGTGTACGTTAAGCCTACCAACCAGGTTGTTACCTAGTTAAAGTGTCAGATTAGTAAACAATTTGTTGCTGAGGAGCATGCTGGTAGGAAATTGGGTGTTCTTAAGGTCCTCAACTCTTACTGAATCAATGAGGATTCAACATATAAATACAAAAGTCATCCTGGTTGATGCAGCCCATGCTGCTGTGAGGAATGACCCAAGAATCAACTGGATCTGCAATACAGTGCATAAGCATAGAAAGCTTTGTGGAGTGACTTCAGCTGGGAAGAAATCCAGGGGTCTCCGGAGGAAGAAGACACTTTCACCACAAGGCAAGAACCTCAATATGGAAACCTGGAAGAGGAGCAGACTTTGTCTCTAGGCCATTATCGTTGATCTGCTTAAGAGTTTTTCAAGAGTTTTTTATTGCATTGTTCACTACTGTAGACCTTTTGTCCTCCTTTGAAATCAAGTTCTGCAACTTGGTAGAAACTCAATTCACTCGATGGATAATGTGATGATAGGTGATAATGTTATACTGTTATATTTATTAACTTTGAACAATCTTTAATTTAAACTTAATGAAAAGGAAGAAAAATTATGAGAAATTATCCTCAGAATTTAGCAGATTAACAGATTTATTCAATAATAATTGGCAAAAAAAGAGAACATTGAAAACACTAAAGAAACTCAATTTCATCTCCTTTAACCTATTATCAAAAAAATTATCCTCAGATTAACAAATTTATTCAAAACTTATCATCATTTTCAATAAAGGATACTAACATAAGCGCTCACATGAGTACATACAATAAGCCAAATATATGCATATTGCATGAAAACCAAAAAGAGGGGAAAAACCTAGATAATGTATACAGTATAAACCAAGAATTGGGCAAACTTAGGCATTCCACAAAGCAATTAATAGTTCAAACAAAATAAACTTAATTTGAAAAGAAACAACCAACCTGTAAAAAGCATGTATTGACGAGCAGTAAGAAAAGAAGCCCGATTTTCCTTTCAAAGAACTGGAATGTGTAATGCAAAAACGTGGAGACACGCTGATTTCCTTTCCAAAAAGACTGAAGTAAAGACTGATTTTACTCTTATCAAACCTAGAAAAGAAGAGATGCGCATCGAGTGTATTTTGTTTGCTCATTTTCCTCTTTATCAAAACTGAATCAGAAGAGCCGTATAGAGTGTACCTTCTATTTTCTTGGGGTTGGGGGAGGAGAAAGGGGGTGGAGAGACATGGGTATAAAAATAAGAAGAAAAATACAAGCTGCCTATTTTTATTATACTAACGACCGGATATTGAGTTTTTTAATATTTGCATATTATCTCCTAAATAATATTAAATTGAAATTCGACTTTTAACGACCAAAAATTAATTCTGTCGCTATAAATATACTCTTTACGACCGGATACATATCCTTTCGTTATGAAGTGGTCGCTAAAAGTCGAATTTCTTGTAGTCTACTTTGGCTGTTGTATCAGGGGTCAGCAATGGCTTTTGCGGTCATTCAGACAAGTGTCGGTAAAGCCAAGCTCTTTTGCTGCTTAAACTCAGACGATTTAGCGGCAATTTAAAAGACTTCTAAATCTAATCCAAAGCGGTTAGTTATGCTCATGTACCGTCCATTTTTATAGATGATAAAACAAACTAAATTGCCGCTAAAACACATTTGTTCTAAAAGCTATTGGTTGCGGTAATTTAGATAGCGGTTAAATCCAATCCAAAAAAGTTAGTTATGCTCGAGTAGTGTCCATTTTTATAGCCAGTAAATCCAACAAAATTGCCGCTAAAATGTATTTGTTATAGTGGCAGTTAAAATAGTTGTTAAATCAAATCTGAAATGACTAATCATGTTCCTGTACTGTCTATTTTTATAATCGATAAATTCAATAATATTGTCGCTAAAAGTTTATATCTTTAACAACAAAAGTTTGAATACAATTATAAAGGCTAGAATATCCTTTTGAAATCATCTTAATATCCCCCATTTAGCGTCCAATTTTTATGGCTAGTAAATTCACTTAGTTTGACTCTAAAAGTCAAAAACATTAACAACCGATTGGTAAGCCACCATTAATAATGACTACATCCAGTCATAAAATTATCTAATTCACCATTCTACTGATAAGTTTATAACTAGTAAATTCAACACTATTGTATTCAAAAGAGAGCCTATCAGAGGTGACGAGGTTTGTCAAATATTAAAAAACATACTTATAATTCTTAAAATATAATATATCTCATCAAATCTAAACAAAAAAAAGAAGTATTAGTCAAAACTATAGAATCACAACTTAAAAACTAAACTTATATTATTTGAATGAAATAGCTAATATCATTATATAGACCAATCCAATAAAATAATGTCTACAAGGAATTATATCATATCATACAAAAAATCTCAAAGATTTGAAGCCAGTTGGATCTCCTGCGGAGATTCTAATAGAATGTTCTTTGATGTCTTTTTTTTACAAAAAGGCATGTTGAATCAAGATTACTAAATTATTTCATATCTTTCATGCCAACAGTTCACTGAATCTGGATAAGAACCTCAATTTAAATCATTTGTGTTTTACATATGACATTTAGTATTTCGCAAAGGGGAACTAGAACTAGTGACACTCATGTAAAAAGGGATGAAAACATTCTCGTTAACTTCAGGGTTGGCAAGTAATGTCTCTAAATATTTTTGTGCCAGTATGAACAAACATGTTATTGAGGACATCTGTGAACTAACTAGATATGCAAAAGTTATTCTTATTTCGATATCTAGGGTCCCTATATCGGCAAAGAAAATTTTAGCAGTGGATTGTGAGATGTTCATATATAATATGTCAACAAGAATCAAAGCTTGGGGATCAAAACATTTATCTTATGTTGGTAGAGTGCAACTAATAATGCTGTTAAAATTCATATACATTCGTATTGGTCTTCTATGATTATTATGCCTAAGATCAGTGCCGGCTCTTGCCTATAATTTTTTAGGCCAATGCCTCAAATTTTTATAAATAAAAAATCATGTTTAATTTTTTCATGAAAAAAAAATTTATTTATAATAAAAAGTACATTTTTATATATATACTAGATAAGTATTGCCCGTGCCCAATTATTTATAATAAAAAGTATATTTTTTATATATATACTAGATAAGTATTGCCCGTGCCCAACAACGTGAATTTTGATGTCATTTATTTGTGTCTAATCTTGCGTTCACATGTGTAGACTCTAAACAACCATAAATTTTTAAAAATAATCATAAGCTCACAAGCACGGCTGCACAATTGTATTCATGTAGAAGATGACAAACATATATTATATCACAATTATCTATCACTGAAATAGTTACTTTTCTAATACTTCCTTTAATATACTTGCAAAATCAAACCCTAGCATATGTCTCATTGGCTCATTAGTTCCTATCCACCATCCTATGATACATGATCAACAAGATGTATATCTACCACTGTTCGTACTTTGCACCATGGACACATAAATCACATAGCGATATTGCAAATATTGTCCATTGCCAGAAATATTTTGCTACTTTGAATTTTTCAAATAGCTGCTTGCCCTATTCCAAAAAGAGAATAACAGATTAAACATTTTGAACTAGAACATTTGTGTGTGTGTGAGAGAGAGAGAGACAGAAAGCAAGACAACTTATTAACTCAACTCAAGGATCAGTGAAATAAAAATCTACTTATGAGTACTATACCCAATAGTCAAGTTATACACCTTTAGAGAGGACTCGAGGAGGGCACAAAGTCAATAAAGACCAAAAACCATCACTACAATCTAAGGATACATCGAAAATTTGATTCTTTCTCAAACCAATATAGGATCCTTTCATCATTTAAGAATAAATCAATTACCAATTCCTTGTTTTTGTTTCATTGATAAGTCAATGCTAACAAGCAACAACTGTATGGAGATGCCGGAAATTAATGCAAACAATGTTCAAAAATAATTGAACACACATTAAGTTCCTTTTAGTATCACATGTTGCAACCAAATTGACACAAAACAGTTGATGAAAATAAGCATGTGCAGGAATCAATTAAAGAAGAGACCATCATTACCATTCCCTCATTGGCTAAAGTGGCAATTTTATAATGGTCAATCTAAGATGTATGAAATAAATAAAAATAAGCTATGTAAGCAAACCATACAATATTGAATTGTTTGGTGTTAAAGAGTGATGTAGACAATAAGAACAAATCATGATTTTCTGGAGTAGCAGATGAGTATGATGTCGATTCCTCACTCGTGCTTTTATCAACATTAAAAATCGTACCAAGTGTATCATCCTGCACATATTCCACTGTTGAAATGACAGTTGTAAGAAAGTCTATCATAATCATAAAGGCACCGAGAAAACCATGAATTGTAATTATACATTGGAAAAAGATCCAGATATAATTGCTTGAAAAGTTACTCCACAATATGAACTACCTTCCAAGAAACATCCATCTATGCGATTGTAAGGCTCTTTATCAAGATATCGTCTTTTGTTTGTTGAAGTAATTTTGGCAAGCTACCCAACCTAAGCGATATTTATTCACTGCAACCTTCTGCATCCAGACTTGAGAGAGCACGGTTACCATTGAAATCACTGGCAACTGCTTCAATGCCTACATGGTTCATCACCGGTCTCCTTCGAGTTTATATCGGTTCCTAGCATACCTTAAATGAATATTGACAAATAAAATTCAAATAAAAATAGTGAAATTGAAATTAATTCACAAATACAAAGGAGTGATCTTCCACTTTCTTTTTTCTTTTTAGGCAAAACCAACCAGTAATATATCACTTATTTGATACACCAAGGAACCTGCTTAATTAGACACAAATTAGGTATGTAGACTAATAGAACCTCAAGTTTTCCACAATGGGGTGTGCTATTTAGGCTACAGACAATCATGATTTACGAATTAATCTAACTACTAATCAGTTGCATAATGACCGATAACCCATAAACAAATAGAGGTGGCACTAATGGATAGATGGATAACAACTGCAACGAATATGCTGAAAAAACTACCAAATACGCCCATTAATTCATTTGACCATGAGTAATAAATCCTGGAACAACAACTACATAAAACTTAATTTTTTTCATAAAGGTAAAGTACATAAAATTCATTTTTTATCCTAACATACTTTGTAATCCACTTCTCACAAAGAGGGAAATCTATATTTTCCACTTCTTTATTTGCTTAGGTATAAGAAACACACCAGTCAGTCTTTAAACAACCGACATTAGTCATCAATTTCATTTTCCCAAGTTCGAGAAAATTTCATGTAGTTAATACTTATTAGACTTGCATCTAACCTTTCTTGTAAATTAGAAGTGTGCAATAACACTAAAAGCATAGACAAGCTCAACTTAGAACAGAAGTAGTGTCTACATTTGTTTTTTGTTTTTTCGGAAAAAAGTAATAAATCCAACAGTAAAAGAAGCAAAATAACACACCCATATACAAGAAGTATATCAAATGTAGACAACCTTACAAAAGATATATTTTTTATAAACAAATCCAATCTTCTATACATATATAAGAACCTAGTGAGTGCTCAAAAAATAAATAAGGGATGAGGAACTATTCTTCAAGTGTGCGAAATTCTTCTCTACTTCATCAAAAACTTTGTCAACAACAATCTTATGTTTTGCATTGTTTCCCCGTCTTCTAAAAGTCCAGCTAAACATTGTTTCTTCCACACTACTTGACATCACCAACCCTTCACCATAGATTCCAATCTTTTCCTTTCTAAAACCAAATTAATTATAAAGGTGTAGAATATAGTGATGGTACTTACAAGAATAATTGCATATGTCATCCAGAGTCTGTAATGTTCTTGAGCTGTGATTCTCAGTTTCTCAGTTTCTCAGCTGCCTATTCAATCAGAATTTTCATATGATAAACCATTTCTTTCACAAACTTGAGCAACTATTTCTCATATACCTTTGGAGTTGCCTGTGAAGACTTCCATAATATTGTAGCACAAGCTTCAGGGCTGGTAAAAAAAGCATAGACATTGTTGATATATAGAAAAGATCAAGATATTCAAGAAAACAATGCAAGAAGTGTTAAAGCAACAACTACAAAATCCATGCCTCAACATATGTACAATGTGTCCGCATTAATAAGCTAACACAACATCCTTTTTGGTTTATATAGTAAGTTGAGAGTTCATATATTGCTTATATCTCCACAGGCACAAAAATTATATTTGAACTTAAACTTC